ATATATATAGATTCACACCACTGTCCTCCCGTTGTTCATCGATTTTCTCGAGCAGGCCCAGTAACATCTCCAGTGTGAGACTTTGCTGTTACTGTGTTTGGCATATTGAATGAGTCATGGGGAGCTTGCCAGGCTTTGCCCTGAGGGCGAGATACTCTCGGTAGCTTGCTGGGCTCTCTGAGAGGGACCGAGGAATTGAACTCGGGTCGGCCATGTTGGCTGCGTGCAAGGCAAACGCCCTACCCGCTGTGCTATTGCTCCAGCCCATATATAGATATATATATATATAATCTATATATATTTGCGTGTATCATTAGATATTTATATATAAAATATATTTATACTTTAGTATATATGGCATTAAAATTAAAAATAGGAAAAGTGAAGAATTTTTTATTCTTTGATGAACTTGTCATGTATTCAATATGCCAAACACAATAACAAGTGTCACAATGGAGACGTTACTGGGCCCACTTGAGCAAATTGATGAACAACGGGAGGGCAGTGATAGTGACAAGAGTGACAGGCACAAAAGGAGACATTGGAAACAGAAGCACCTGTGGTGTTGAATAGGCTTATTTTGCTCTTGAGTTTGTTGACTCATGAAATAAAAAAGATTTTTATTTGTTAAAAGGCATCCTAAGTATCACAAAACACTGAGATTGCCCCCAAAATACTCCCCTTAAGGATACTTGGCAGGCATTAGCAATACAGATTCTGGGTTTACCCTTGATGTAACTCTATGGTAGATGACAGTGAATAGTTACTAGACATGACTTTTGTAATGGAAGATGTACGCACACACATTTTATTAAATTTTAAATCAAAACACCCTAATTAAGTTTATGCAAATGAAATAGATCATCAAAACCTTCTATACAGATAGGATTTTCTTATTTGGGCGCATAGGTATGAAAAGATTATACTCGGCAGTGATCAGAGTTTACTCCTGGCTCTGGGCTTTTAACCTCCAAAACACCTTCTGATTGCCAAGGTAAGACAATCAGAACTCAAGACCAATGCCTCTGTGGGTTCAGGCACATAAGTAAATTGTGGCACAAGATGATGAATATAATTTTGAACAAATTTTAAAATCATTGTTAGACATTCTTGGGCACTGTTTGATGGGAGGTTGCATAAATGTACCTCTGCTCCACTCCTTCAATCCAAGTCCAAATTGATCCCTCTCCATTAGTATTTGACCTTAACTCCTTGGCACGAGGAAAGTGGAAAAATAGAATGAGTTAAGTTTCTCGTAAGTACAAATCTGTTGTATTGGCTTTTCTCTTACAAACTTTTGATGCCAAGATGGGAAGCAGGAGGTAGCTACAGAGAACTTGCTGAAATGCAGTCTTTGTCCTGGCCCGAGAAATACATCTGCTAGCACTTGAATCTTTTCACTGGGCACAGAAGCAAATAATATAAATAAGTTTCTATTGCCTACATGTGAATATAAATGTGCCATTATACACAGTATGTTCTTTGGTATTCCTGTGCTTGGTAATGGAATAACATTTTATCCCATATGCTCTTAGGACATCCTCAGGATTATGATTCAGGATAGAACTAATTCTGAGACACAAGGCTTATAACTTTAGCGTTTCTTCTAGATGGGCTGAGATGGGGCCACTAATGACTTTTTAGTAAAGGAGCTTTCACAACGAGTTAATTATTAATTTTCTAACTCTAATATCAGCAGTTTATACTTGTACGCCACAAGGGTAGCATGTTTAAATTCTTTCCTATAAATCAAGAGTTACAATGGCACCGGAAACCTTTTGTTTGTCTATGCTAGTTCTCAATCACATAAATGAGGTGAGTTTTAGCATAATTTTTGTTTCTGCTAAAATTATAAGGTTGATGATTCTTTTTTCCTTTCAGTTTTGGGGCCACAGCTAGAGATGCTCAGGCTCTTTACTGAGGGACCAGTCCTTCCATGGTCAGGTATCCTATGTGGTGCCAGGGTTCAAATCAGAGATGCTGCTTATGATGAGCACTTTCTTTTGGGAGTGTGTTCAAATCATTGGTTTGTCAGTTTGTCTAGTGTTCTTTATGGAATATCCTATTATTCCCTAACTTCCAAGAAATCTCTTCTATCCCCAATTACAGGTTATCTCCTGGTAATTTCACATCTTTTCCCCCCTTAACTTGAGATCTGTATTTCTCAGTGTCCCTGTCAATGGTGATTAGTTTAGACATCAGGAGCATTCATGCAAAATTTAAAAGGAATTGGAAACAAAGAAGCTGAGGACATATTTCTGGTCCCATGGGGACTGTAACAAAAGGTCTATGGCCTTAAACATACTTCAGATTTTAGCAGACTCTACTTACTTCCCTGAAAATCACCCTAAAAAAACAGGAGGCAGCTGAGATCATCGTCTCTCTGCAATGCAATTTTATTCTAATTGCATTTCCTGACATTACAGGATATATCAGAGATTTTGATATAGATATTTCCTGTGATTTCCTGACTTCCTGAAGCAACAAGCTGAGATCTAGAAGCAAACTCTCTTCCTGCTTTTCCAAAAGTGATGTTTAACTGTCTTGAACTCTTAAATACCATAAAAACACAGTGTCTTCTGTTTTGCTGACAAGTCCTTCATTAAAACAATGATTATTTAACTGGATATTAGTTAGATAAAATCTGGTTATTAATTTCATGGATTTACTTCTGGTTTAGACTTTTTCTGTTAGAAACTTTATTTTTCAGTGAATCCAATAAAGTTTCTATTCATTATATTTTTATTTTAACCCTAAGGCTGGAAATACATCAGACATGTAAAAGATTTTGGGGACAGGAAAAAAGTGACTACAAGGATATATATATATATAATATATATATGTAAAAGGGGAGGTAAATACCACAAACGAATTTGTTAACAGTAAGAACGAAGTTATTCAGTCTTTCTATAGCAAAAAGAAATATGATATTAATGAAAAAAGTCACTTTTTCTGAAAACACGGATGTTTTTCATTCAAATAGGTGAAAGGGTAAAATAGCATTAGATCCTTATTAAAATGCCTGATTATCTAAAGAGAGAATTCTTAGCTGGATGTTTCTTCATCACTCCTATGTAAGATACATTCCTGATCTAAGTGTCAGACTGAAATCGTTGTTCCATACTTGGAAAAATAAAAGTTATGGGAAATTTCAGAGAAATCAGGGTAGCCAAAATGACTTTCCCTGCTCTTCATTTTTTCTCCTTTCTCATATCCCTATTTATAAAAAGAAAAACCTTAAGTGCAATTATAGTGTTTTTATTCCTAAAATGTATCACTTTGACGGCATTAAAAGAAGAAAAGCTGCAAAATATGAGCACAATTACTCAAGAGGTATACAGATTCACTTACATAAAAATCCCTTAGTTCTTGTTGAAGTTTGGTTAATTTACCCATTAAGCACCAAGTTCTACTAATGCTCTTTCATATTATTTATAGGATTTTTTTCTTTGGTTTTTGGCAATTTATTTTTATTCCATTTCTAAATATAATAAAAATAATATAAGCTATTAGATTTATTTTCTTACTTTAAAATTTGTAATTGTTGAATGACTTTTTTACTGTGTGGTACTAAAAGATGTGATTTTGTGTGTGTGTGAGTGTATACTGTTCCTAAAATGATCACACTTATTCAACTTGTAATGGATATTTATTGTATGCCTGCAATATTTAAGTCATGTTTACAGTCATAGATTATGGGTTGAAAATTACAAACAAACCCACATTCCTGTCCTCAGGAAGCTCAAAGTAAGCTACTCTAGGTGGAAACTTTACAGTCTATGGTTCCTAAGTCTTTTCTTGAATAGCACATTTGGTAAAAGTACACCTAAGCCAGAAATAAATATTCTGGTTTTAGGTTACAATTGAAAAGCAAATAAGTGTTGAACTAATTAAAACTTTAGAGGTTTCCCACAAAACTCACTATTTAATCCAACTGCAAAAGTGATGGACAAAGAAATTAGCAAACCCTAGACATTCTGTCAGATCTTTCTTGTTGGCAAATGTCACTGTAGACATCACAAGAATGGTGTTTTTCATTTTGGGTTTTTTTTGTTGGTTTTGTTTTGTTTTGTTTTGTTGTTTTTCCTCTAGGGATGACCAATGTTTGCCTAGAAGTCCTGGATTGACTGTTCTAAAAGATTTACTCCCTGCACCCCAGCCAGGAGCAAAGTATCTGCTTGCTTTTTCCACAAGGAGCTCGCTAGAAGGATACAGCAGTTGAGATTTTGGTCTTTAGGATTGAGAACTATTCCAGGACTAAGCGCGGCTCTTAAATATATTCCTCAAATTTTACTTAATGCTTCTTTTTTAGGGTCCTTTAAGTATATTCTATGAGCAAACATAGTGGCTTGTGTTGCTTTTAAGATTTCCCAGCATTTCAGTGTTCACCTGGATTATAGAAGGGTCCTCACTTCTCAAATATCACCCTCATTTGGACTCCTTTATCCCAATAAAATTCACTCTCAGCATTGCCTCTCCTCCATTGCTGCTATGTTTGTTTTCCTTTATCGGGTTTATTATTTTTAACAGTATAAAGTGTGCTTTCTTTTTGTTTGCTATGTTTCTCTATACTAGAATGCAAGTGAGATATTGATTCCTGTGTCAATTTTATTCACTGTTGTATTCCCATTATCTAGACTAATGCCTGTCTTATAAATTGACAGTGAATATTTGTTCCATTTCTCTTATAAAAAATTTCTATTGATAATAACTATGAATAGATGTCTACCTAAGATCAATGAACCTGAGGAAGAATAAATAATAGTATGGGTTTTTTTTGGGGGGAGGCGTTTTCTGAAACACAACCAGATCTTACTCCTGGCTCTGCTCTCAGGGATCACTCCTGGTGGACTCAGATCAGTCGTATGCAAAGTAAGTGCCCTACTCACTGCCTACTACTATCTCTCTTATCTAACAGTTTTGTTTTCTCTTGGTTTGGTTTGGTTTTGGAGCCATACTTGGTGGCATTATGGAATTCTTTAATCAACAGATTTTTTTACAAAGAAGAGCAGTAACGAAGTCCCCCCATCACGAATTACAAAGTTGAGTTTCCCACATTTGGGGAAATTGCAGGGGTCAGCACATCCAGAGTACAAAGGATAAGCCTCGCCTTGGGAAAACCATCACCATGACCATGGTCTCTTCCCTGCCAGCAAAGTATATAATGAATAAATTTTTTAAGGAGAGAAATGGTTCAATTGTTCACTGCATGTCCCATGAACTCACAATAGCATTCAGATTGTGCTTCCTTGTCAATCACATTTTCTTCTTGTGAAATGAGGAGACTGAGATTGGTCCTTTCCTGGTAGATTTCCTATGAAGAAGAGTAAATGAAATACGCATTGTATGACAGTAATACCACTGCTGTTGCTTCTTTTCACTTAATGCACTCAGTGTAGCTAGGTTATATTTACAGTAGCTCTTTTCCTCTTTTGTTTTTCTCCTTTCATTCTGTAGGGCAAACAGTCTGCCAGTTGTCAAGGAGAATGGTACAGTCTCTTAGTTCTTATGTTTACCTTAACTGCCAGAATGGCAGTTCATGAAGATAACATGAGCAAGAAAAACTCTTCCTATGATTTTACAGCTTCAGAAAAGACTTTTTCTAGCAATTCCGTATCCTAAACTACCTCTTCATCTGCCCACCAAAAAAAAAAAAAGTCTAGAGTAATAAAATCTCTTAAAGACGTTTGTTTAAAATTCCATTGAGTATTTTTCTTTCAGACAACTGTCCTCACTCACATCCCTGAATAAGAGTTCATGCTTCCAATTTCATCTCTTGTGGTTGCTTTACACTTTTATGAAGAAGTGTGTCTCAGGTTGTGTTGTTAGAAAAACCCTCTTCAGGCTAATTCAGATTCACTCAGCTACTGACTGACTTTTTTTTGTTTGTTTGTTTTTTGGGTCACACCCGACCATGCTCAGGGGTTATTCCTGATTCATGCACTCAGGAATCATTCCTGGCGGTGCTCGGGGGACCATATGGAATGCTGGGAATCGAACCTGTGTTGGCCATGTTGGTTGTGTGCAAGGCAAACGCTTTACCCGCTGTGCTATCTCTCCAGCCCCTACTGACTGACTTTTATTTTGACCTCCTGCTTTATTCAGAGTAAGACATCTCTGTGCTTTCCATGGAGTTAACCTGAGATATTTGAAGGCAACCTTGATGTCTTTATCTCACAAAATATGCCCTGTTGCTTATTAGCCATTCCTTCTTTTTTTTCATTTTTTATAATTTTATTTATTGCATTACCATGAGAGCAGTTACAAAGCTTTCAGGTCTAAGTCTCGGTCATACAACGAAACACCCGTACCTTCACCAGTGCCCATTCTCCACCACCAAAAAACACAGTATACCCCCATCCTACACCCTCCCCCCACCTGTGGGGCAGATGATTTCCACATTCTCTCTCTACTTTGATCATATTCAATATTTCAACACCAGACCCACCATTATTATTTGAGATTTTACCCCAACAGTCAGATCTGCTGGAAAGGTAACAGTAGACAATTTGTATTCTACTGCTGGTTATGAATAACATATGATGTCGCATGTAACACTTAAATCTAGAGGGATTTCTGCCAAAATCTGCTGGGTTCCAAGATTTGCTCCTGAGTCTCTGGGATCATAGCCATTAAGCAGCTTGATCAGGAGCCAGAGAGGCCGTTCGTGGGCGATGACTTGGGGTCTCGTTGGGACGGGGAGGACAGGACTGGCTCCACCCCCGTCTTGTGAGGCCCAATAAGTTTCATCACTACGGGGCCAAGCCTGACTGTCCAATGGCCTCTGGAGTATGATGGCCACAGAGCCACTAAGGGGGAGCAGGCAGAGTGACAACACCCTTTCCCCCTTATGGTGGCCCGGCAACAGTAACCTACCGCAGGGTCCGGACGCACTTTTGCCAAAAGCCGCTAGGTTTCCAGATTTGTTTCTGAGTCTCTGGGATCAAGGCCGTTAAGCAGCTTGATCAGGAGCCAGAGAAGCCATTTGTGGGTGATGACTTGGGGTCTCGTTGGGGTGGGAAGGACAGGACCGGCTCCACCCCCATCCCATGAGGCCCTGTGTGTCTAGTCACTGAGGGCCCAAACCTGACTGTCCAGTGGCCTCTGAAGGGTGGCGGCCACTGGGCCGCCGGGGGGGAACAGGCCAAGGCATGAAACCTATTCCCACCTGGGTTGGCCCAGCACCGGTAACCTACTGCAGGAACCGGGCACATTTCTGTCAAAAGCCGCTGGGTTTTGAGATTTGTTTCTGAGTCTCTGGGATCATGGCCATTAAGCAGTTCAATCAGGAACCAGAGAGGCCTTGCCTCCAATTATATAGCTGAGCTGGAGCTGATTTGCGGGTTTGTTTCCCACATACCTAACTTTTGGCCGTTTCCTTTCTTGGTAAACTTTGCCCCAAGTTTTTGGGGTCTGGCGAAAGGCACAGCAGTCATTTTGGGGTAGCTGGAAGTCTGAAGGCACCATAAGGCTGCTGATGCACTCAACTTCACAGGTACACATTGGCCTGCTGGCAGCACCATACCCCTTAGCCATTCCTTCTATCATAAACTTTCTATATCCTTTTTCATCCTACCCACCTTCTTTGATCTTTTTTTCAATCCAATAGTAAACCATAAACCTTTTGGATTATGGTCCTAATAGTATACTCCAAAATTATAAGTATGATATAAGTTATACTTTTCCCTGGAATTTGACCATCTGGTATTTTAAATTTCAACTTTGAAATGTACTGGGGGCTTGTATATTGGTAGAAACTATTTCACATTGTTGGGTCAAGGGCAAGATCATGGTGAGGCAAAATCCTCAGTCTCTTTCACATGAGCTGGTATCAAATCAGGATGTCTGGTTTCTTTATAAACTTGAGTCAATGCTCTATTTTCTTCATATGTTCCTGAAATGGGCTGAACTACACACAATTTCTTACAGTAAACTGTGTACTGTGCTCCATCTAGTTTCTTAAGAAACAAAAAAGGCTACAAATTTTGTGCAAGGAAGAAAGGCAAGCTTGAGATACATCTGGAGGAACTATAGAAAATCTAAATTAGCATAAAGAACATATTAATTAAATTCATGAAACTAATGTGATTTTGGGACTCCAATAACAGAGAAATAAAAAGTTCAATCTTATTCTGCCTAAGCATATTTACCCTGAAGTCCATGAAAGTGGTTCAGGAAGTCTGTGATCATCTCAAAGAAGAAGATAATAAATCACTATAAATAAATGTATTTATTTTTTACATAATAAGATATTTTGGCTCTCACCAGACTCCTAAAGGAGTACATAACCAAAACAGATTAATAATCACATATAACTTTTAATTGTATAAGGAATATTACATCCAAGCATGTTAAGAAAATTTGGGACCCAGAGCGCATCATGTTAAACAAAGTAAGTCAAAAGGACAAATAGCAGATGATCTCATTCATCTCATCAATAGTATATACATAGACCAAAGAAGGGAATAGGCAATATCAAGAGATGACAAACCTTGTTCTTTTGTTGCAAAACTCAAATTAACAAAGAAAGAGGAATGCCAGAGGTGACATTGGACAGCAGTGGATGGTCTTAGGCACTTAGATAGTATTAAGATACAGTTCTGTGTGCATCAAAACCATAAACATTTATGCTACTATAACCACATTACCTCAGTTATAATAAAAAAATAAATGAAAAAGATAAATCAAGTAAGTGCCTTATGGCAAAGAAGATAGAAATAAATATATTCAAGACCATATTGTTAGAGGTAATAAAGTTTGAATATAATCAAATTCTTTTAAATTCTAGTCCAAGATCCCTCTTTTGCCATATGTTATGCAGGAAAATTTTATATGTGTGAAAATTATATGTGTGTGCATATATATTTAGTAGACACATGCCTTACATGTCTTAAAGTTTATACTGCTATATTGAGGGGAGGAGCTTTTATCTTTGTTTAGTTTGGAGGTCAAACCAGTGATGCCCAGGGGTTACTCCTGGTTCTGTACTCAGGAATCATCTTTCTGGCCCCAATATTGCTCTATTTTAAATTTGAAACTTGCATTATAGGATCTTAGACATTGTTAATTAACCACAGATACAATAAGAATATGGGAACTGGATACAAGATGGTAAATGAGTTCTCCCATAGACATTAGGCTGGGCTTAGACTTGTGAACTTCAAAGTAAAAATTATGCTTCAGAAGATCAAAGAAATTCATTCCAAAATGTATCTAAAAATAATCTACTTTGTTCACTTGTGATATGGCATGCAAGATTAGGAACTGAGAATAGACTTCAAATTGTACTAAATCAAGGGTGGATGCTTTTTCTACTGGAAAAGGTGAATATAAAACTTGTGGTAATTTCAATTTATTAATTTTTATTAATTTGTTTAGCAAAAGGGAACATTTCATTTCTCAGTTTTATTCTTATACTAATTTGACTTTTTAAATAATACATTTACTATTCTTAATAAAACTAATATTTTTACTTCCTACATTGAAAAGCATCAGCATTAGTAATAGATTTTTGTGGTAACAAAGCATGTTTAACTTCAAAATACTAATTTACAAAATCATTTAACAGAAGTAGTTCATAGATCACAGAACTCATGAAAGTATTAAAAGGTGTTTGACTGTAGATACATGTTTAAGATGCTAGATATCTGAGGTCTGATATAATTTGTTATTTTTCAACAAGCAGTACTCCTTATAATATATTACTCTAGCAATGTTTGTGCCATTAGGATGTTACTTCACTGGTTATGCAATTCAGTGTCTACTATACTCATTTGTATAGAAGGGTTGACATAGACATATTTGAGGAAATATATAAGACACAAGATCCCTTGAAGTTGATATGGAGAAAGGGATGATATTGTCACATCGACACATTACCTTCTGCTCAGTTATGATAGGACTGGGGGGGGGGGGGCGGCTGTAGGGGATTTCGATGGCGCAGAAGTCATGGAGCAACTTTTTTGTGTGTGAATATATTTTTACAAAAAAAATAGTAAAATTTCTTATGTAGCTATAAGCAAACAAAATCTGCCACACCTTAAGTGTCTCTTTTGCACCAGGAATATTTCTCACAGCAGGGGTCCTACAATCTAGAGAAGACGTTTACATGTGTGGAGTATTTCCTCTCTCACAGACCAGAAAGACCTATCCCCAGACATT